AGGGGCGCTGCTGTGGGGCTGGCTGCGCTGAAGGCTGGCGGGGCCCGGGGTCGGGAAGGTCGGGGCACGCCTGTGTACGCGGCCCCTGTGACACGTTACGTGTATTGCGCGGTTTGTGCCGTAGATGTCAATCGGCCGCAGGGACCAAGTGATCGTCACACCATTAATAGGCAAATCGCGCCATCAGTTCAGCCCGGCCCCACGTGCAGGCTGATTATCGCGCCATTCCCCAGTGAAGTGCGCAATAAACCTAGCACGGGTGTCGAGTGCGTGTCCTGCCACGCGCCGGTGAAGCGAGCAATACATGTAGACTGGCCCCAAGTGCCAGAGTGGCTGTCATGCAGTTCGCTGGCGAATGGCGCAATGCATTTTGGTGGCTGCGCGCCCGAAGTAACTTTCCCACCATAAAAAAGGCCTGTCTGTTTCTAAAAAAAGCCAAGCGGCTCTCAAGCTAGTGTTTGAAAATGTGGCAGCCCTGCCAGCTTGGTTGTCTCCAGTTTCAATTTGAAGGTGTAGAAGGTCCATGAGGAATTGGCCTTTTTTTAAAGTCGCATTTGTTATAACTAAAAGGGAAAACAGTCGGGACCTCCCTCCACATTTTTGTAGCCCTTCTGCAGCCAGCATGGTGCTGCTTTTCACTGATTTAGTTGCACGTGGTTAAGGGTCCCAGTGTAAGAGGGTTGCACTGATCCCCTTAAACCGGGTGCAAGACCTTGGTTCATACTTAAACAGGCTTTTTGGTCACCCTTCTGTTCTGTGTAAGCCTTTCAAAATCACTTCCTTAATTGGTAGTGGGTGACATGATTAGTTTCGGCTCATAAACAAAGTCCTCTTCAAGTCCAGACTGCCAAGCTGAATTTGAAATTTGTTTTGCATGCTGGGAAGTAGCCCAATATACACACACCCACTTAGAGATAACTGATGCTTGAGACCATCCACACCCTAGCCGGGAGGTGGTTCTTTAGAGTAAACTTCATTAAAATATTTTTCCATAAGGTGTCCCTAAATATTCTTGCAAGTCATTGCGTGTTGTGGAGTAACTGACTTCAACACTACTGGAAACATTATAGCATTATAATATTGGTCAGACTATAAGAAATCAAATTTTTCTAGAATTAAAATGAAATATTAAGGCCTATGCTCATCTTTCCCTTCCCTTCGCCTTCCCCGAAATCTGTATTAATATTTTTCTGGTGTCTAAATGAATTGTTTGTAAATGCTTGTTTTTATTTCATGATCTCAACATTCAGATAATTTGTATACATCAATGGTACACGCCCAGTTTTAGCTGCAGATATTGGTTGATTAAGTGGCATTGGAAATGCTACTTTTGGAAAATAAAATTGAAATCTTAGTACTCATGGTAAAGTTTAAATCTTAGTACATTGTTCTGTTAATGTTTTACAAGATTAAAATTGCCCAGCAGTGTCTAATTGGACCCTAATTTTACAGGCTTTCTATAAAGGGAGATAATTAGTAAATTTTAGCATCTCTAATATTCACAGAATACTTCAGGACCGGTTCTGTCGTGCACTTCTTGTTAAACATAGATATGAAAGCTAACTAGAGCTACGGCAGTTGCATGGAAAACTAGTGCATGACTAAAAGCCAGTAGAAATTTGAGTTAAACAATGGAGGAATAAATTTTTGTTAAATGACGTCCTAGTTGTAGCAACTGAAAATCCACTTGCTGTGGGCTGACAGAGCAGAAAGGAATGTTGACATGTTTGAATATTGCTGCCTCATTTAGTTGGCTGTCTTTTCCTCTGTTTGCAACATGGTTTCTATATTTTTAATAGTCTCTCAGAGGCCCAGTACTCTGCCCACTAAAACAGCTTTTCTTTCTGAGGGGTTGAAATGAGGAACTGGGTGGAAGCCAAAACTGACATACAATTTGTCACTGCAGGCGCTCCTGACACTGTGTATTTTTTCAAAATTCTCCTTTTGTTGGTTATGGAACTAGAGCAGGGGCATCCTGCTTTCACGGGGAACTGCTGAGACTGACATTCCATTTAATCCCACAATGAAGCATTGTTTGAATCTGCAATCTTACAGTTAGAACTTGAAATTACATATGACGGCTTTACAACAGGGGTGGGCAACAATGGCACAATTTAGAGAATATAACTTGTGTGCTATGACCAGCTTGCATCCTGAGGTGTTGTCTTTGTAAAAGGCCAGCAGAACTTTGTGTAACTGAACTGTTAAACAGATTTGAAAATTGATCAAATCGAGTGGTATGCATATTTTAACCAATATTATTACAGATCCTTTTTTACTTTTTTCAAATCTTCACTCACCCTTTCAGATTATTCCAGTTAAACTTTGCCTTGTAACTGCACTACTCTAGAGCTTTAGAGCAATTTACATTAATCTAATACATGCATGCAAATAAACAAACTGATTCATAGTAGAGTAGGTTAGCATAGTAAATGGCTCAGTAATTCAGGAAAGAATGGCATCATGAGCCTTTCAGTTCTTTGGACAACTGATACACTTTAAAATTATTTTCTCTTTCAAGTCATTGTGAATCTGTATATGTAGAAATAATATTTTAAGAAAGCAGGATTGGCATATTTTGCCACTTAAGCTGAGAGGTATTAATGTTTTGTTTAGGAACAGTGTTGTTACATCAGTGGTGTCCTCAAAACCCTGTTCATCTTTTGGTCTCCTCTTCTGTTTTGTACATGGAGCTGTTTATACTGCTTCCCAATTGGCTAGCAGAGCTTCTGTTAAATTCAGATAGTGGCCAAAAATGTAACCTTTTCTAGGAATGTTACATCACTTGTGAATTTGGCAGTTCACTAATTACTTGTTGATTCTAATTGTTAATGGCTACTTTTCTTTGTGACTGCCAGAGAGCAATTTACACTAAAACAGGTCAGTTTCCAATGTTACAATAGATCCATTTGGTTCTGTTTAAAAAGCAACTTCTGCTTCCCTAGTAGCTGTCATTTGTCTAGGACATCAGAAACCTGCAAGTGAGAATTTAAAAGAATTCATAGTTTCTAGGGTCGGAAAGGACCTGAGTAGATCATCTAGTCTGACCCCCTGCCATGGCAGGAAAGATTACTGGGGTCAAACGACCCCAGCAAGGTGTTCATCTAACCTCCTCTTAAAAAACCCCAGGGTAGGAGCCAGCACCACTTCTCTTGGAAGTTGGTTCCAGATCCTAGCCGCCCGTGAAATAGCACCACGGAAACATTCAAAGTTTAGGAAACTTTCAAATGTTAAAGGAAACATTCAAAGTTTAGTAGGTGTGAAATACAAATTACTGAAACAAATTTTCAGTAGGAACAAAAACAGCAATGCATGTAACATTCATTGTGCTTTGCCTTATATTCAGAAATTACTTGAACGAACCCGTGCAAGACGAGAGAACTTGCAGAAGAAAATGGCTGAGCGGCCCACAGCAGGAATGAGGGGTACGGCACAGACAAAAAGGACCAGAGAACCTTTGTCGGAAACCAGTAACCATACATCGTTGCCTGGTGAAGAAGGTATCTTCTTTTGACATAGAAGAGATTTCAAAAAACTTTAGGAAGAGAAGAATCAGTTTCTAATGTCCTGATTTTTCTTTTGATATTACTTTTTTGACCAAGCTATTACTTTTTTCCCCATGTAGTAAAGTTTTAAAAATATCTTTCCATATTAAACGTAGTGTTCGGCACTCTTAGTTTTTACTGATTTCCTCACTCATGCCAGTTAACAGGGATTTGAACTGAAAAACAGGTGGTGCTGGTAAGCTAAAAGTGCTGCTGTGCTGGTTACCTGAGGCACAGGTTTCTGGTTCGGGGGGAAAATGTGGTGCAGGAGGTAGTTGCGTGGGGAATGGGGTGGTGGCTGCACTGGGGCCAGAGGAGAGGGTTGTTGGAGTCAGTGCCTGAGGGTGCCGGGGTCCTGGCTCTGACCCCGGCCAGGCCTTGGGAATTGCTTCCAGGGTGGACAGGTCTGAGCTGCACTGGTAGTGGCTCTGCCTTCTGGGAGCTGCAAGCACCGCTGGGGTGGGGGCAAGTGGAAAAGCCTGGCCCTGCTCCCTGGAGGCTGGAGCTGGTGGTTGTGCCAGACTCTCTCCGATGCTCAGGGCAGGTGGCGGCCTGCTTTCGTACCACGTACAGATCCAGGGGTATGCCCCTGCCGCCCCCACCCTGGGAAGAATCCAGCACAGCCCTACAGAGAGCTGTGCCCCCATGTCCCGCACCCACTGATGGCTCCCCCCACTTTTCTCCCTAGTGTGGCCCCAGCAGTGACAGATGGGCTGCGCTGCACCCCTCCCCCCACGCCTTCTCTAGTCCCAGCCTTACTCCCTCCCTCACCACTTTTTTTTCTTCCCCCGATTAAACTGGGGAAACGGTTACAATGTTTAATTGCCCCTTACAATGTTTAGCAGGGAAGGCTTTTCTTTGCTTTTCCCAAAAACAGGCTCCCCCAGAGCCTGTGATAGCCGTAAAGTGGCGAGCCCTTGTGCTTCACCACATCCAGGATCTGCTGCCTGCGTGCCCCTGTGACCTTGTGGGTTCTGCAGATGGGGACGTGCAGGGAACGTATCGCAGCTGTGCCCCACCCTGGCCCCATACTGTCACCACCCCGCAATTGCAGGCCTGCGGCAACTCCCCACCTAGTTGCATGGCTTTATGGAGCTGCGTCGGGGGCTGGGATCTTGGGGCAGGGCTGGGGCACACCTAGAAGCCACCACTGAGCCTCGTTGTGGGGCTGCAGTGCCCATGAGGGGGAGAGGGGTGCTGCAAACCCTGTGGAGGAGGCTTGGGAGGCTGAGAAGGAGAGGCAGGGGACGGCCACATGTCACTGCCAAGCCTGCCAAGTGGGGGGAATTTAGCCTCCCTCTCTCCTTGTCTGTTCCCTCTCCCAGCTCAGGCCATGCAGCCTGCCGATGAGGGAGGAAGAGGGGTGGACCTGCTAGCAACTCAACAGCCTGCCATGCACTTAGAAGCAGTGGCCAGGACTGGGCTGGGGGAGGTGGGGGGTGCTGGGGCACCCCTGTTCCATGCTAGTCTGCAGCTTGCCCCGGGATGCCTGTGCAGTGGCAACAGCCGCCGGGCCTGCTAGCTTGGTGTTGGATGTAGCAGTGCTGCACAGTGGAGCAGCATGTGGGCAGTGGTGAGAGCTCTGGTGAGGGCGTTGCATCTGGGGTTGGGCAGGGAGTTGGAACTGGGGGCTGACCTTCATGGAACTCCCCATCTGACTGTGGTCTCCATGGAGACTGGCCTTCTGCTCTGGATGCAGTGCCTTCACCAGGGCTCCCACTGCTGCCCCTGTGCTGCTATACTCCTTGTTGAGCCAGCAGGGCTGGGGGCTGCCACTGCTGTGCAGGCATCTTGCAGCAAGCTAACAGACTGGCATGCAGCAGAGGTGCCCCAGTGCTGCCTGGCAGGCCAGAGGGCAAAATTGCTCTGTGGGTTGGATCTGTCCTGCAGGCTGTATTTTGCCCACCTGTGGTCTAGGCCAGTGGTCTCCAAAGTGGGGTGCTCGCACCCGAGGGGGTGCGCAAGACAATCCATTGGAGTGCAGGAAGAAAATACTACAACTTCTATTTATATTTATTTTATTTCATCTTTATCTCATCTTTTTTTAATTGCTATTTTTTTTGTGTATGTTTTATAATGTACATCATATATTAGTACAGTAGTACATGTATATAATTTATAAATAAATAAATATACATATATTGGGGGTGCATGCTCAAAAATTTTTTACTGATAGGGGTGCGCGATCAAAAAAGTTTGAAGACCACTGGTCTAGGCACATACAAATCTAAACAGATAGCAACAGTTTTATGGATTCAGAATTTATTCCGGGCCCTAGTGATTAGTGTAAACGGAAGTCTCCGCTATGAAAGTCACTCTTTTTACCTTTCCTTTTCGGTATTAGCTTACATTCAGAAGGAACAGGAATAAGTCTGAAGGGATAATAAGCCAAAGGAACTATTTTTTAAAGGAAATTTTAAGACCTAGTGGAGAGTTTTTAAAGAGAAACCAAAATGGGTGGTGGGCATTCAGTTTAAATTACAAGCTGAGATGATAAAGGCTGACAAATAATTGGTTCAAAAACTTTTAATTTTAACAGTGAAACCTAGTACAAAGCCATCCCCATCAAAAAGGCTCTGCTCTAACAGCTTGGAGGTTCCAGTTTCTAGCTCAGAGAATACACAGCCGATTAATTCCCCTTCCATAGACCATCAACCTGAGAAGACCACACAGCTACAAAAAACTGCTACTAATGTGGCTCCAACAGTTCAGCCTGTTCCATTGTGTGACGAGAGAGAAAAGCCAGCCTTGAAATCAGAACCTCCAACAGCCTCTTCAGTTAAAACACGTATGCAGAAACTGGCTGAACAGCGACGTCGCTGGGATGATATTGGTATGTTCTATTGCATATGCAGAAAATAATTAGGGGTGCACTGATAGAGATTTTGAGGGCTGATACCGATAGCCAATATTTAAAGAGGCATATCGGCTGATAGCAATCCGATTTCCGATACAGCCGTCTCCAGCTGGTAAGTCTGGTGTGCTGGAAGGGGAGAAGGGAGGGAAGGGACCTGGTATGGGGGGCAGATTAGTGCCCTTTGTGGTGAGAGAGGGGGTAGGGGCAGGCGCTGCCCATGGCTTGTGGAGGGGGTGCGCTCCCACCACTGCTTGCACCCCGGAAGGGCACGGGGGGGGGAGGGGGCGTGTGCCCCCTGG